AGGGAGAAGCTGCTCGATTTGGAAGCTTCAGGGAGAGCCTGTGATCAGAGCTAACATTTGAACTGCCACCCTTTGGCACAGAAAGATCTTTCTTCAAAACTCACCAACGCTTCCTTTTCCCTCTTGCTTAAGGCTCATTCCCAGAAGCTGCTCAACATCTGTGTTCCCCCAGGATCTCCCTCCTCAGCCTCCCTTGGACACCACACACCTTGGCTGCCTGCTGGGAGCCTATGAAGCAAGGATTTCCAGTCACCCAGCTTCCCTCCCCTGCTAACATCTCATCTCCATTTAACTACAGGCTGCCTGCTGCTAAGCAGCTTTTTCATCAGCCACAATGCTAGCTGATCTTCGTAAGAACAGAACATGGAAAGACATGCACTAAAAGGACAAGTTCAATACTAAATACAACCCCTCCTCATTTCTACTCCCAGACCAACGCGTAACAAAGGCACTTGCAACAATAGAACATTCTTAATAGCTCAGTGCTACAGAACAAGCAAAGCCCATGATAATGATGAAGTTGACATCTAGTATCTTCACACCTATCAGAAGTTTTCAGCAGTTGATTCAATGAAAGGAGTTCTTCAATTGTTATGCTTATATCAACTGTGAGATATGGGAGAAAAACCTGATGCTCACGCAGCCTAAAAGCTAGGGTAACAGCCAAGTAACCAAATAAAAGCAAAGCAAAATGTTTGGGGGAATTTGCTTTCCCTTCACTGAAGAGGAAGGAACCAGCTTATTTGCTTTTTAGATATGGAAGTAGAAAAGCACTGCACTTTCTGCAGCTTTACAGATCACAAACAAAACATCTTAGGCACTGTTGCTCAGCTGGAGACTATGAACAATTCACTGCTCTAGCTTTTGAGTGTCCTTCATTCCTGCTGGAGTTAATAACATGCTGATAAGCACCCAGAAGTTTGAAAGCTTATGCAAAACTTGTCCAAATAAACCATCTGAAATCCTTGATCTGCAAACCACAGCAGGAAAACAACATCCAAATCAGCCTCTCAGATTTTCCAGCACTTGCACTTCTGGCTGGGATTAGGAAATACAGTCACAAAAACCAATAGGTAGATCTTTTTATGAAAGGTTATGTACTCTGAGACTGGAGAAAGTACCACCTTAGGCCACCCTCTTGTGGCCTGGGATCATTTTGCAGTTACTCTGTCCTCTCTCCATTACATTCCAAAAGCCTGAAAGCTTCCACTCCCCTACATGGGGAATTATTGAACACATGATTTCGAGCCCATATTGATCTTTTTGGATCCTCGTGTGTTTTTATTTCTTTGCTGCTAGGGATTCATGCTGCAAGGTGAATCTCTTGAGAAAATGCATCAGTGCAGGAAAATAAAGTTATACAGCAATCAACACAATGTTGATTGAAGAATCCTAGGCTGGAAGTCGAGCAGTAAAGAGCAGAAAATACTTGCTTCCCTCCAAGCACATACTATGCCCTGCACCCAGCCCTGCTGTACCAGTCCCATTCAGTTCAGAGAAGCTGACCTGCTCCTGCCCAGGCTGGTGCCTGCTGATGAGCAGCCTTCTCAGCAACCTGTCACCTCGCAGAGCAGCAGCAGCCTAGGGAAAGGCTGCACTATCTACATTGTCAGAGCTCTTCAGCATTGCGGGGCACTGCTGAGCGTGGATGAGTCAGTTCAGTGACCTGATCTGACAGGATGGAGGAAGAAGAAAAAAAAGCAATTTTCCAGTAGATCAGTGTCTCAACCTAATTCGCCCTGAGAGGGTGAAAGGGAAACAGGGGGACAGTGCAGCTGGGAGATGGTATGGGAAGGTGATGGGCAGAGCAGAGCCCTTGCTGGGTGCAGCACCAACACACCCCCTAAGCCTCTCTCCACATTTGTCTGCCTGGATGACAGAGCTCACACATGCCCACAACCCCCTTTATAGCTGTGCCTTAAGTCAAAGGCTGTTGTAAATTGGGATTCAGGGTAAGCTGCCTCTTATTCTTTTTATTTATACTTGTTCATACACTTTTGCAGAGTACTAGCAACACCCCTCTGCACAACAGTGCAATGAAAGAGAGCAAACAAGGCACTAGGAGAAAGAGTATTTTACAAGTCTAACTCTCCTTCTGCATCATCCATATTTATATAGAACAGAATCTGATTTACTTTGCCAAGTACAGCTGATCTATACACTGCAAATATTCAACAGACCCTGCTCAGCTGGGTTTTTCAGTCTCACTGGAGTGCTTTTGTTTCATCTTTCTGCACCTTTGGAGAGAGAAAATATCACAGCTCAGGCTGGTGGGCAATTTTTAAGGAAGAAAAAACTGAAATATGCAATGAGGGCAAACTAGGAAAGATGTGGACAGACATAAGGAATAAAAATGACAGTTGGATTTGGGTGCCAAGGACCAGGTAGTACTCAGATGGCAGCACCTATTGCAATAAAGGGGAATGGATACCTGCTGTCTTGGAAAAAACCTTAAACTTTTGCCCAAAATAAGTGGAAGAAAACAAGCTGCTCTGTGCTGAATCATGCATTTCCCCCAGAGAACAGCAGCCCTAGTTACTCCTCACCCTTCACATCCCTTCATACTCAGCATGCACATTACTTCCAAAGTCTCCTCAGTCTTAGACTAAACCTGAGCAACAAAGAAAGCAAAGCCTGTTGCATGATGACACGGGAAGTGCGTGAACCCAGAACTGTCCCTGCCTCTCCTTCTGCTGCCTGTGTGATTTAAGTTCCCTCAGACAACACAAAAACTTTGTTGCCCGATTCTTCACAGAAGATGGATCCGCTTGTACAAGTCACAGAGATGCTCAGATAAAAATCTTTGTCAGTGCTTTGTCAGACCCATATTGAGCATACAAATAAATGCTCTCTTGCTGCCCTTTCCCTTTCACAATACTTTGTGTTAAGCACACATCACTCCGTGCTTAAAGCTTATGAAACATGAGTTGGCACTACTCAAACCTCAAAACTCAAAATGATAGAAAAGGGCGAAGTCAGCAGAAGGGCCTATGCCCTACACTTCCTTTAATGTGCCCCTGGTACAGCTGAGAGCCAGCACACGTGGGACAGAACTCAGTTCACATGGCCAGGATCCCAGCAACCCCAAGTGACAACTGTGAGGGCAGCATCTCTGAAGAGCAGAAGATAGATGCAAGATTTCCCTGCTCTATGGGAAGCAGGGCCACTGCACAGCAGCCTCACAGGGTGCTCTGCAGAGCAGGAGCAGGTGTTATTTATTGCTCTGGATTCACTGGAAATTATTTGCTGAGCAGAGCTGTGCAGGTTATAATTAAATGCCCAGCTGACTGATCACAGCCAGCACATTTATAACAGCTGGTGGGATGTGGCAGAAGCTGTCCAGAGAGGAGCTATCAGGATAACACTGTCTAACCTAAGCACCCTTCCAACCAGCTCTGTGTGCAGAAGCAACGGAAGAGCTTCCTGGCACTGGTTGCAGGTGTCTGATGTGTGGGCTGGGATTAAGCCAGTTCACCAGTCCAAGCCCTCAAACATCCCTTAAAGTCTCGCTCCAACAATCAGGAGTCACACCATATATGAGCTGATCAAGCCCAGATTTTACATAAAGTGTGTTTTCTGCTGCCTCCGCTGCATGAGGAATGTCCAGAGCTTCTGGGAAAACAGACAAGGCATTATTGACTGCCTAGTCCTAGGAGGATCACCTCTTCCTGCCTCTGTCCTCAGGGAAGTGCAGCCTCTGGATAGGAAAGAAATATCAATGCTCAAGAGCTACAGCATATAAATAACTTTAGCAAAGGTCTTTGTTTTCCCCTCAAATTAGGTGTTTTCCATTGCACTGATTTATCTCTTTGGTGAGGCTAGTTCTCATTTTTCATAGTTACTCCTGACACACTATAAGAGCTATCAAGGTTCTCATCTAATAAGCTATTTCCCCCTGAAGAAAACAGTGGAACCTTAGCAGGCTTTGGTCCTATGGAAGGCAGAGGAAACCAGAAAGGATTGAAAGAGGTTTCTCTGTGCCTCATAGCCCTGGGTACCCAACACAAACAAGGACTGATCCTCAGTTTTCTAAAGCACAGTAACACAGAGTGAGCTTAGGAGAAGCAGAGCCTTGATGCAACATCCTGGCTCACCATAACCAGCAGAAAGAGCAAGCATGGTGGCAGGCAGAACAGCTTAAGAAGGCACATGCCCTGATGGCATGACAGGCAGGAGAGCACAGAAATTGCTTCACCTATCCCAGCCTCTAGTTCTTCCAGACCAAAACTATCCATTCTTGGTTGCTACTTTGGTCTGATATTGCATCAGGCACACTGCAGGCAGCAAAGCAAACACACCACCACACCTCCCAAGTGCTCGTTAATGTTTGCAAGCAATGCTCTCAGATCAATAGCCCCTTCCAAGGGTTTATGCTTAGCAGTAGCTCATCATTTGATCTGTTAATGCAACTTCTATGGCTTCTTACTAGTGACAACAGAAGTAGGTAGAGAGAAACATGAACTTCACCCCAGCTGTGACCAATGGGCTACCAAGGAAGAATAGCCATAAGGGAATGAGTAATTTCATTAGAACACACATCGAACATTGATTTTGCTCTCTGCAGGAAGAAGGGTGCTTTCTAAAGAAAGTGTCAAAACATGGTAAAGTGAGTTTAATGAATAAAGTAGCCTGAAAATATGGATATTGCTCCTAGGCTGACAGCTTTAAAACACTTCTTAGCATTCATCCTACCTACAGCCCACTGCTCCAACACCTTTGGAGAAATAAACAGCTCAAGTTCTTACCTTAATACTTTGGTAGGTACTCCTAGGCACACCAATTGCCATGCTGATGCTGCAAAACCTCCACCTTGGTTAAATTGCAACCAGAGTTGTGCATTTTTTATTCTTACTAGTATTCAGAACCTTTCTTGAGGTTTAATTCACCCCCTGAACAACACAAGCACACCTAATACACTAGCCTCAAAACCACAGAGAAGCTCAGTATCAAGTATGAAATACTAAATCCATTTAAATCCAGAATAAATAGAAACAACTCACCAGATCTTCTACCATAACCCTCTCCATTCCTGCTAATGCTCCTTGGATCAAAGCTCTCAAGAGGCCACAGGTTCCCTTACTGCTCCTTAAAAGCACTGCCATGGGAACTGGTTTCCTCCTGCCTTAATTGAAGAAAGATGGGGACAGCACCTGAGATCCATTTGTAGCTACTGATCTGAGCAGATGGTTACACTGACCCTAATCAATACAATCAGGACCACGTAGCCTCCAGAGGGGAGGTGGGTGATATTTATCAGGAGCGAGATTTCAAGAGGAGGTGAAGGAAAGGGATTATTTATTATGATTTGGATCTCTCAAAAACCTGCTGAAATTCAGTTTCTGGTTGGAACTGCTAGGTTGGAGACAAAGAGTTGAAATCTCTGTCCAGTGTTTGTCTAAAGTACGTGACAGTCTTTGATATCTTTGTGTCTCAGTAAATCCTGAGGACTTGCTGAAGTGCCCCACTTCATCCTGTGTGTGTTTGGGAAATCTTGGATATTACATAGTTAAGGGCAGAGCTGGAGAAGTTTTGGTCCAGTGATACCCAAATCAAATGATTCCTGTCTTATGCTTGCCTTTCAATAGATAAATGAAAGTAATAATAGGAAAAAATGACATTTTTTCAGCATTTGTTCTAACTTTCATGACACTCTTTTTGTTTGTTAAGGTTTCTTGCCTGCATTTGTTTAGTCCTAACTCATGAGCTATGGCTCTCATGCAGCCCATCAGTCAGTACACCAGAACCACTTGCTGCATCAGCACATGTGCCCTCGTGCAGATGCATGGGGCTGTTGGGACAATGCAAACCACAGATGGGAATGCAGATGTCCCACTGCCTATCCCAACAGGTGGGGAGCATTTGCACAAGATGCTGAAGACCTAGAAAAACTACAGAATCTGATTGATGAATTCATTTTAGTAACTGTAGAGGAGGTTTTCAACCAGAGGAGATTTAAAATGCTGTGCACAGCTGTATGCTAGAGATGATGAAAGAAAACAAATCTTTGTAAGTCTTACTGTCTCTAAATGTTCATTTTTTACCTAGATCTTTCGGCAACTACATTTATAGTGGAAGAAATTTCACAACCGTGTTTGGATAAGAAATATTTTGGCCAGACAGTATTTGGGCAAATAGTTCACCTTGGGAGGAGAGCTGCTGGCTGATTTTCCCTGAATTCACTGTGCTGATAAGAAATAAGATTTCACTGGCTTGCTCACCATCTTAAAAACATATCCAGTCCTGCAGTGCTGGTGTGGAGCTGTGGACCCAGGTGCAGCACAGGGTTGATGAGAAACCAGGCTGTAAAAGCAGTTCCAGCCCCTGCTTATCCCATCCGCTGAGCTGCAAGTTCTCCCAAGCTTTCCTAGCACAGCTTGTGGCTGTATGTACCCTTATATTAAAGCAGAGCTTATCTTTCAACTGAATTTTTGTAGAACTGTTGGAAATAGTGATGCTCCAAGCTGCATTGTTGAGATAAAGGCCTGGGGCTGGGCTTCTTGGAAATGTAGTCACAGTGCTTCACCACATCTCATGTGCACAGGATGCCCCTAACCTGTGTGCCAAGGGAGGACATCAAGTAGAGAGCCTCCAGGTGGACTGGCCTTGATCTTCTGCTGAAAGTTTGATCCACGTGCCCTTGGAGACACTCCAGGTCAGGCTGGATGGGGCTCTAAGCACCTGATCAGCTGTAGGTGTCCCTGTTCAGTGCAGGGAGTTGGACCAGGTGTGCTTTAAAGGTCCCTTCCAGCTCAGAAGATTCTATGGTTCTATGAAGAGGCTTATGTTCAGTGAGATACACGCTTTTCTGCACATACAAGGCTCAAAACATTTTTTCCCCACCTTACTCCCATGCCTTTTGATTTGTTCCTAGTCATGACTAGAAATGGTGGCTTTTCTTCTCCCAGCTACATATTCCACTTAATCTAACAAGACATGGGTTGCATTTAATTGTTTATCTGAACTGAAGCTGCAAACTGTTGGAATGACTCATCCATTAATATTCAAGGTGAGTGCCACTTTCACACATTTCCCTGTGTCGAAAAACAAGGGATGTTAATTACCACTCATAAAACGCTTTAAAGGTATAAAGTGGCACACCACTATTTACCAAGCCATTATTTTCAGCTGTTTCATTCAATCCAGTGATGAGCACCAGGATTTACACGTGGAAGGAAAGTGCTGTTCTGCAGTTTGGTTTTGCTGCCCTACACAGGCAGTGATGTGCTGGAGCTCCGCTAGAAGAGGCAGGAGGGCAGCACTCAGCAGTGACACACAGACCTGCTCCCATGGAGCACTTTGCCAGCCCAACTGGCAAATAATGTCATTGAGGCCCAAAAGTTTCTACAAAAAGCCCAATTATGGTTCAGCACAGCAAGGGGTATCTGGGCAGCTGAGCATCACCCTCCCTTGCCCCGCTCAGGGGGCCCCTCTGTGTCTTGAACAATTCCTTGTGTAAAAAAGGCCAGAGGAATTGCTGGGAACATGTGGATTGAATGACTAAAGCCCCATTGAACTGACAGGAATTTTGACTTTCATTTCAGAGTGGCCAGGGTTTAACCACAAGAAAAGAGGGGAAAGTTGCTAAGATTTCATTCAGTTTGGATAAGTACCAACGGTTTGTTTGGTTATCCTAGAGTCTTTTATCTGCAGTAAATACCCAAAGAAAAGGCCTTTGAGCAGACAGATTGAGAGGGCATTAAATAAGTTGTTACCCTTTTGCTTATTCCAAGTGCAAGTAGCCAGTGTTCATTGATGGAGGCTTTACGGGGCTGCCTGCATTAGATCAAGAGGGAGTAAATTGTATCTGAGACTTTAATGATGGAAATTTAACATGCTGCTTATGGCTTATCCTGGACAAGGCAGCAGATCGATGCACGAGGATCATGCATTATTTCAGTTGAAGAACTGTTGACAAGTGTTGCTGTTGGATCCAAGAGACTCACCTACCTACATAGCTACAGGCAAGGAACGTTTTTCCTTTATCAGAACTTTACAAAAAAATCTGATTCTGAGAATCCTCTGCTGCAGCAAAACGTCACCTCCTGACTCCTCACCTTCAAAAGTCTCTGGTTTTCACCCAATCTTGTGCAATGCAAACAGCAGTCTGGTATCAGTGTAATTCTTCTCAGTGCCCCTGCCGGAGAGGTTTAGTGGCAGCCATGAGACTGAATCAATATTTGCAACAATTACATGGAGCTTTACCTTCAAGCTTTCTGAGTTCAGCTTTTCAATTTGGCAGAAATAATTCTCCACCATTGCCTTGCTATTTTCAGCAGCAAACCTGAACAAACAGCCCAGGCATGTGGGCAGGTGATCCTGCCCCAGTAAATCTGACTCAGGGTTTGCATGGAGCCACATTGAGAAAAGTAGAAAAAGTGTTCTGAGCAGCTGAAACACGAGCATTGTTTGTGTCCTGTACTCTGAACAGCAATAGTGCAGCTCCCATGCAGCTAATTTATCGTCCTTAAAAAAACCTTATTGTTCATGAGTGTTTAAAGAGCCTCCTGTATGGCAATTCCTCCTTCATCTGACAGGTTATTGATCCAGCTGCTCTGCCAGTTCCTATACCAGTATAGTTACTACCACAATTACTGTTAGAGCAGTAAAACTCCCTGAATGGACCTTTGAGCCATGCAAGGTGGAAACAAAGAGCTGTGACTGCTCACTTCAGCAAGCATATCATCATTCTTTAAGGAAGCAAAGAGTTTTGAATGTTTATGGAGCTGCAAACTGGATTTTCAAAACAGGATGCTAAGAACAACAACAGAAAAGGAAAGATAAAGCAGGAAAGGAAAAGAACTCACACCTTGTTCAGGCTCACATCTGAAGCTCTCCAAGCTACAGAAGTTGCATTCTGCTCCTGCCTCCTGCAGAACTAGCTGTGAGCTCTGCAGGTTTCTCCTCCCTCTGTTTTCTCTCCTCCTTCCCCTGGTGAGTACCCTCCAAGGCAGCTGGAGAAGCCCATCTGTATGCAAAGACATTTGGGTGAAAGTCCCCCTTTACATCCCAGCACACAGTGCTGCCATCACCTACCTCGCCACGAAGTGCTGCTGTCACAGACACAGAGAGGGGAAGGGAGCAAGAGGGGCTGCAGCTGTTGTGCCATTAGTTTTCCATTAACTGCTACGTAGAACATGTGATGCATTCCTATACCCCTCTACCTGTCAAAGGAATTAAAATGCCCAGTGCCACCTGACTGGAAATGTGAAAGGCAGTGGTGGAAAGGCAAGTCACACTGAGCAACTAAGAAACAAAGGGGCCAGCTGGCATCTCATGGTGGTATCATTTGTAAGGCACCATTGAGAGTACATGAGCACAAGGGAGGCCATGACCCTGAGCATTGAAGTGCTTCTTTTTAAGCAGTCGAGTAATTCTGCTAAATGTGTTTGTTAGTAGGTTTTTGACCAACTCTTTTCTGTGTCTAATATTCCCCGGGTAAAATATAGAAGCGATAACATCAGCTTGCCACTTATTGCTTGCCAGCTTACAGGCTAAATGTTTGCAGTTTTTTGAGATAGGAACCTAGGAAGCAGGTCCAAAGGGGACTCCAAGGTTACCAAATCTCACAGGCACATCCACTGCTTAATATCTTTGATAAATTTAGCCAGCTCCATCCTGAAACCTGTTAAATTTCTCACCCGTATTCTTTTGGCTGGCAAACTATTCCCAAATGTTACCTTTCTGAGGATTAGGAACAGAACTGTTAGTATGGGCAGCTGATGAAAGAAGAAGAAAAACTAATTAAAAAAAGATTATCGGTTACATTATGAGACAAAAGGAGCAAGTGTACTCTGAACAGTCCATTTGCTTCCTTTCTGACTAAGCACAGTCCCCCCATCCTCTGTCACCCTTAAGTCACTGTTTTCCCTGCCTTGCTATTTCCAGGCATTATCCCACCATTGCCCCTTTCTGTTTTCTCTAAGCACCACTGACCCCCCTATCTCCTCCCTAACAATTTTGAGAGATTCCCCTTCTCATCCCTCCCTATTCCCACCTGATTTGAGCATCAGAAATCCAGTCTCCTCCTGCATCAAAGAGGATGGGAGCTGAGCCAGCACCGGGAACCAAAGACAGCAAGGAGCTAACACTGCAGTAACAAACCACAATTTTTTCTTCTCTTTTCAATCATTATTCCCTAGGATGAGAAATTGCTTCTGTTAAACATTTTAAAATTGAAGCCACTTCCTGTGCAGTGGTCCCAATCTGCTGTCATCCTCCTCCGATGGAGGGAGAAGACCTGGGTTTGGACATCATCCATCAACGACAGATT